GCATGTCCCGTGATGTAGGGATTAATGGACATTGAGAATGAACAAGGAAAATCATTATTCAATTCCTGAGTTTTCTAAGGAAAAGAGAGACATCCGTGGATTTTGCTGATCAAAGATATGCAAAATGCCAAACTGGAAGGCATTTGAATGATAGTAACAGAATCTTTGGCAGTTAAGCTTTTAATGTCAATGTATGAGGCAGAACACTTCCTTTTTCTGATTTACTTATGCTCTCAAGCCAGACTTCTCAGTTTCATTTCTAAATCTGTTGCTCATCAGCTGTGTGTTCTTTCATAGGTTCCTTGCCTCTCTGTGCTTCAGTTTCCTCGTGTGTATAAGGGAATGATAATAGTACCCCCCTTGTGTGGTGCTGTGAGGATAAATACATTAATATCTATAAAAGGCTTAGGACATTTCCTCACTCATAGTAAGTGCTGTGCTAATTGCCAGCTATTATTATCATTATTCCTATTTTTATTATAATTGAAATATTTCAATATATCTATTTTATGTCCAAAAAGTGTGGGTCTCTTATCCTTTGCCCGCATAACCCCATTCCACATACCTTGCCTGGCTAATCATCCTTCGACTCTCAGCTCACTCTATAATAAAGTTCAAATGACCTTAACAGACTGACTGGCCTAAATGACAGAATGGCTAAGTACAAATTTTGGCTTATCCACAAATTAAAATTTCAGACGTACATTAATGCCACTTTCGAGTCATGTTTGAGTTTTTAAATGACATGGAAAGAATAGGAAGTAACAATAATCAGACATACGTGTTCAGGAAGGAATACTGGAAACCAACAGGAAATAAGAACCTGGGTACAGAATGAAAGGGCAATTTTTGTTTTCTTATGTCTGACTCACTATAGTTTCTAAATTTTGTACAATGACCTGCATATTTTCTATAAAAGGAAAACAAACGAATATAAAATTAAAAAAATTCATACTTCCCGTTTTTCAAAAGCCTTTCTTGACGCTTCACTAACCACCATCTAAAGCACCTACTCCCAACATCCGACCCAGTGCCTGGCACATAGCAAGGACTCAATAAAGCTCTGCTCAATTATTTTCTTCTCGTGCCAGAGTATTTATTCTCTGTGACTGGATTGGAAAGAGGCCAGAAACAAGTATAAATGGACTATTTGAAAGAAGAAGCTTCAGAAGGAACCTGGAAGTTTCCAGATCACATCATACTGGGGAGGCTTTATATTCTTGTATAGAGGGCCCTGTCCTCCACCTTTGACAGCTGAAGAGCAGGCTGTGGCAGGTGGCTTTGAGGAGAATGGGGCTGGCTCATTGGTCAGAGTGTGGCAGTCCCCAGCAAGCTATTTCAACCAGCTCCCTGTCCTACAGATTCTGTCCTGAGGAACCCTATACCCGGCATAATTGTATACTTAGTTCTACAACCCACAATTCAGTTTCTGTTCCTATTTCCCCAAAGGGACTTGAACACCATATTGGCAAAACCTCAGGATTTACCTCTTTGGCATTTCTTATTTCAGCAAAATGACCATATGTTCCAGCTTACTTTAGCTTTCCAGTCTCAACATGTACCTTCAAGGAATTCGCTAGTTCCAGGCATTCTCCCTCCTAGAGGCTTGTGCCCTTGGCCTTGACACCCAGTGGTCTCCCCAACACTCATGAATCTCAACACTCTCCTAGGACAGGAAGGGATGTCAGGATAGTCCATCTCTGTTTCCTGCTCCTCAGCAGCTGTGTAATCTCTTCTGCTAGTCTGTGTGATCCAAGATTCTCCACATGTGTAATCTCAAAGGTTGTACCTAGGAAGGGAATCTGGTCATACCTAAAGTGGGAGCTGAAGATGTTGGGTCCTGACACAAGCCCTGTATGCTCTTGACCGGGTCTTCTAACTTCCTTAAATTTTTCCTTTCTTAATCTGTACAATAGCAAAGCAGATTGGGATCAGATCAAACCATGGGCTGAGGATCTGCTGAGGGGACTCAAAGAACCAGGACCTCTACAGGGTCATATCACTGCTGTGGCTGCTGGGCCCCCTGCAGCCTGGAGAGGTTGAGAACAGTTTGAGAAGACAGATGTAAAAATGCCCAGAGTGGAAAACAGTGGTAATCAAGAGTGTGGAAGGAGGGGATCTCTCAATTAGCCTGAATGAGTGGAAGTGAAGGGCTTCCCCGCTCAGGAGGGAGGGGGTTGGCCCTTCCAAAACACACAGAGCTCCCTGGAACCGTGATTGACCCTTGATAACACTTCCCTAAATGGAAAGAGTTGATTCCAAGAATAGCATCTACTGTGACAAAGCCACTGGGTGTGTGGGTTGAGGGTGAAGGAGGAGGTCTAGGGGATGACACTTTGGATGGAGTGTCAGAACACCTCCTTCATTCTTCCTTGGTTTGCTCATTTGGCTAAGTAGGGGTTCACATCTTGAGTACCTGTTACCCGTAACACCCTCTCCCACCAAAATGGAAGACTGGGCTGCCTCTGGGCACTTAAATCCACACATTTATCGCATGCCTTTTGTACACACAGAGATAAAGATGGCACATTTTCTGCATCAAGGAGCTCACTTCCTAGTGGGGGAGACAATCAGGTAGGTATGTGATAGGTGAGGTGATGATAGTAGCTCAGGAGGCTACAGGAGAGCAGAAGAGGCTGCAGGATTTACTCAGGAGAGAGGTCAGGGAAGTTTCTCTAGAGAAGATGAAGCACCTTTTTTTGTTCATGTTATTTGAAAATCGTCTGTTATCATTCTCTATCGACTACACATGGAAATGGCTTCAGTGTACAAATCCGGGGGGCAAGTATTTTGGCTAAACAAATTGACCCAAGTCCCTTTCACTCTTAGTGTGGAATTTCACTGGTGCAAACACAGTGGTATTGTTGGGACCCTCATGAGCAAAACATTTTACCTCCGTGAGCCAAAGATCAATTCAAGCCTAGGAGGCAGAAGTCAACAGACAACTCATTGTGGGGCTCCATGCAGACTGACCACCGTTTTTCTCATCCATCATCATTTCCCTGAGGCCCCAGAGCGATGTCTTCCTAAGCCCTCCACAGAATGAAGATCAGCACAGCCCAGTCATTGAGACAAAGGCTCCTCTTAGCACAGAGTGGGATGCAGACTCGGCACTCTGCCCACCCACAGGTGGGGGGTAACCTTCCCCTATCTTGAGGCTTCCTCTTTGTCTCCTCTCTGACCTGACACTTAGCTTATTCCCCCTCATGGGAGAGCTACCTTCGCCACTGTCAACACCAACACGAGACTAAGAACCCTTTAAGGGCAGCGCTGGGCCTTTATTCAGCCCTGTCCATTCTCATGAACAGCAGGCAAGTAGTGAGTTGAATTGAAATGCCCGGGATAGAGAAGCCTGTGTGGATCTAGGGAACACAAGGTACATCCTCCTGCCCTTAAAGCATGGTATTCGATGGTCAAACATGAAACTGCATCAACCAGGAGAGCCCATGAGAGATGCTGACACATGTGGTATCGGGGAGCACAGAATGTTAGAGCTGGGGAGGAGCATCTCCGTGAAGGTCTGAACATTTGAAACAAGAGCCGTACAAAGAAAACGGGGAGAACAGAAAGATCAGAAGAAGGAAGGAAGTACAGCGTGTGTTGGGGAGGGGGACAGGGGAGTACTGAGGTAGGATGACCCCGTACTTTATATTATGAACCTGAAGTACCCCAGGGTGCTCCTCTGACAGCTCCCAGATCCTTTGGCTTCCAAATTTTGCATTTCTTTTTGATTTCTCAAAGCAGAGCAGGAAGCCATGTGGGATTAGGGGGTGAGCAGGTGGGTCAGAGTAGTCAAGGTAAATGTGGGTAGAGATCTCACTGCAATCACCCTCATGCTCCCCATTTTCCCTACTTCACTCACGCCTGTATTCTGGCCCTTTGTAAGCGTCACCTGCTATAGGTTCCCAGCGGGGCTTTATACGAACCACCACCACCACCACGGCATGTAACCAAAGTCCCTAGGGACTGAATGGGAAACACCCACATTCTTAGTTACACATTTTTTTTCTGTCACATAGCTAAACTCATTGGTAGGTATCCAGCCTCATTTGTATATTAAAGGAACATTCTTTATCTGAATGCTTACTGATTTCTTTCTTCTGTTCTCTTATCAGTCCAAGAAAACATCCTAAAATATTTGTTGGTATTTCTTCTCCATTCCTTCCTTGTTCTAGACGAACTAACCTAATCCTTTTCTTGAATTAAGTCTTGTTAAAACGGGTCTTTGAGTGTGGCATAGTCCCCAGTGGTTGGTGGCTTTTCTTTTTCTTTTTCTTTTTTTGCATTTTTTGGCCAGGGCTGGGTTTGAACCTGCCATCTCCGGCATATGGGGCCAGCGCCCAACTCCTTTGAGCCACAGGTGCTGCCCGGTTGATGGTTGTTCTTTATAGGCATATGTTTATTCTGAAGGCTACAACATGGAAATAAAACAGACTTTAGAGTCAGACTAATCTGAGTTCAAACCTTGGCAGTACCACCTCCCAGCTGTGTCACACGGAGCTCATCAGTAAACTGCTCTCTGACTCTCGGTTGCCTTTTCTGTAAAATGGGATTAATCGCACCCCTGAACAGGGTCATGGTGGAATTATTTATGTGTTAAAGCAGCTTTTTCCCAGTGTCTGGCACATAATAAATGTCCAATAAGAAGTTATAGATGATCCTGAGTCACCCTGCTGGGTCCTTCTGCATATCCAGTGCCTAACACTAAAGTCCCTTAGCCCAGGAGAAGGAAGCACAGGAACAGGGACAGGTTTGTGGCCAATTTGGAAAGACTGATGCGAAGCCTCCAGCTTCTGGAGGGGCCAACCACCAAGAGCAGGATGGTTCTTGCTGATAAGACACTTCTGGTAGGTGTGAACGCTTCATCTTTTCCTCTGGGGTTTGCAAACCTCTCCCCAGTCTCTGTCACTGCTTTTGGTTGTACCACTTCCCCCTAGGGCGCACACTTCTCTTCTCCACCTCCCTCAGCTTTCCTTTGTGGTGACATCACCCTAGAGAAAAGGAGCTGAGAGGAAGGATCCCTTCACTCTCCGCCAGCTTCCGTTTCCTTGGTGGCCCCGTGACATCATCTTTACCCTGGAAATTCCACTCACCCTCCTGTGCCTCCGACTCCTATAAAGAGAGCTTCCCAACTCAGCATCAGCACAGAACACAGCCAGGTTCTGAAGCTTCTGAGGTCTGCACTCTCTCCTCTAGGCAAACCTCTCTTCCACCGAGACCATGAAGTTCTGTGTGACCGTCCTCTCTCTCCTCGTGCTCCTGGCTGCCTTCTGTTCTCCGGCGCTCTCTGCACCAAGTAAGTCTGCGCTTTCAGCTGTTACTTCATGGTCAAGGTGCAGGCAAAGTCCACTTTTGTAGTTGGGGCTGGTCCAACAGTGGGATCTAGGGACGGGACAAAAGGGAGCAGGGAAGAATTCTGAGTAGTTTGCTGTGAAATGTGAAGTCTCATAGATAATTAATAACATTCAAGTTTCTATTCCTGCTTTCTTAAGAATTAGCAGCCAGTAGAGAAAAAGGACAGGTCAGATAGAAGTCAGACTGCTGAGGTGGCTCTGCTGCTAACTACAGGTTCTAGCAAAGCCCTGCTTCTCTCTGAGCTTGGTTTCCCCACTAATAGGAAGGGACGGAGGCACGTTCTGAGATTCAATCCCGTTCCAATCTTCTAGAATTCTTTCTTGTTCTTCTCTGAGGATCCTCTATTCAGAATAAGATTCCCACTGAGAGTAGGTGGGAAAGAACGCAAGGGCCATAGTCAGGGTTCTGTGCTCCAGGAACATTTATAACTAGAAGTCAAAACAAACAGCTCCCCCATAGAGCTTCCTTCTCACCCCGGCCTTTCCTTCCAGTGGGCTCAGACCCTCCCACCGCCTGCTGCTTCTCTTACACCCTACGGAAGATCTCTCGAAATTTCGTGGTAGATTACTTCGAGACCAGCAGCCTCTGCTCCAAGCCAGCTGTGGTGTGAGTATTAATCCTGGTCACTCTGGGAGGCATAGGGTAGGGCAGGATTGAAAACAGAGGTCTGTTTGGGGTGCAGAGGTCATTCTCAGGGCTGATGCCCTCCCAGAGGACTATAGGGAAACAGATCATGAGGTCACTTTTGGAGTGACTGGGTGGCAGCCAAAGCAGAAGATGGGAGTTCCTAGGGGAGGAAGTCATCCAGAGGCCAAGAACCCAGCTAAAGTCAACAAGGTCACATGTATTATGGGCCCATTTGTCAAGCCATGCTAGAAAAATGTGCAGAAAAGTCCTTGCTAGAGTCAGTCAGGAATAGGAGTTCTATTCATATTGATCGAAACACCTGGTGGTTCCTAATCTGGGCGGCCCCTGGGGCCACAGCCTAGATCCAGTGGGTGGAAATTACAGGGAGTCAGGTTCCAGTGCCACCCAGGAAGGGTCCCATCCACAGTGGTCAAACAGAGGTAGATGCCCACCACAGGCAAGGGATAGTGTCACACGCTCTCAAAGGTCCCATGGGATCCTGATCTGTCCACTCCTTGATCTACAGATTCCAGACCAAAAGGGGCAGGCAAATCTGTGCCAACCCCAGTGAAGACTGGGTCCAGGAATACGTGGACGACTTGGAACTGAGCTGAGCTGCTCTAGGCTCAGAGGCAGGAAGTCTTCAGGGAAGGTCACCTGAGCCTGGATGCTTCCCTATGAGACGTACCTTCTCCACAGTCATGACCCCTCCCGGTAGATCTGTGCCTTCTCTTAGTTTAATTTTTATCATGTGATATGTTATTGTATTGGATGTTATTTCTATTATTTATGCTTGTTTTGCTAAAGGATACATGTCCCCTATGGGGATGTCCACATGACTGTTTCTCTGCATTTTGGATACATAGATGATGCAATTGATTCCATGTGTTTTCATAATAAAACTTTTAAAACAAGGGTAGACCGTTGTTTTGTCATTTTAATTTGATTTAGAATGAAAGAAATCACCCGGCACTGGGAGGGACAAACTACAGTTTCCAGAAACAAGTGGAACAAAAGTTACCTAGTCCTCTGGGCTAAACTCCCTGCAGAATCTCACTCCACACTTTCAGCCAGAAATTTAACACTCCTGTGAAGTAGGACTGTCGCCTCCACTTTCACAGAGGAGGCAACAGAGGCACAGAGATGATAGGTGACTTGCTGAGGCTTGTAGGTGTGCTTGGGGAGCTCCAGAAGGGGCTGATCTGAAGACTAACTGTGCTGTGATGGGTTAGAATTGCAGTATTGCACGGAAAGTTGTAAATATAGAGGATTAGAGTCAGAAAAGTGACTTCATCACCTTATTATCACCAGAACATCAGGAAAGGTGTCTTGCCTTACTGGACCTCAATTTTTATGCCTGTAAAATGGGAATAATATTAACCATTTTGAAGGGATGCTGTGAGGTGATGTGGAAAGCCCACATCATGGGGCAAAGCACCTGGAAGATTCTCCCCCATCCCTCTTTGAGCTTCAGCCTTTTTACTTAAAACAGGCATGTCTTCTATAAGGGGCTGTTATGAGGACCAGATTAGTTAGATAGTGGATCATCACTCCAAAGCCCAAAGCAAATGTGAAGTGTTATCCTGAGGATAGAAGGATGAATGTCTGGTTTGGTTCAGAAATGTTGCAGGAGTAGCCTAAAGTCACATCAGCTTAATAATCCCTCAGTCCCCCAGAGGGGACCTACCAAGTAAGAAGGATAGGCAGAGACTGCCTTGAAGATTATTTGAGAGCTCTTAGTCCTTAACAGAAGCAGAATTTGGGCCCTGAACCTCTCTGGGGCCAACAGACACAATACCCTTCCTGTCCTGCCCATAGTCACCCCATCGTTCCAGAGCCCCAGTAGAAACCCCCTTCAGATTCTACAGGGCCTGAAAGAAGGAGGCTGGGGCAGAGCTGATCCAAAACAGATATGAGCAGAAGCTAGCAGCAAAGAGCCTGCCTGGTCTTACCTTCTGCTTTCATCTGCCTAGATCTGAGCTGTTCAATATGTTAGTCATTGGCTAGACTGGTTATCCACATTTCATTTAACCTTAATTAACATTAAATAATTCGGATTGCATGTGAAAACCCCACACTGTACCCCAGAAGTGCATTAATGTACATAGTTATCATTCAATTAAAAAAAAATTAACATTAAATAAGATTTAAAATTCAGTTTCTGAATCACACTAGTCACATTCAAAGTGCTCCACAGCCACAGGTCCCCTGTGTCTACCATTCTGGACAGCACAGATGTAAGACTGTGCATAGTTGCATAAAATTCTGTTGGCTGGTCTGTCCGGGAAAACTCTCAGGCCTAAAGAAAGTGAAAGGAGGGGAAGTTAGGGTGGCCTGGAAGATTAAAGTGTAGATTTGGAGAAATGGAGGCAAAGCTCTGCTGAGAGAATAAAGTGCTTCTCAGAGAATGAACGGTCCTCGGGCCTAAGACAAGGTATACATCACTGTGGTGGCTGCAGGATGGCCCCCAGGTAACATTCACATCCTACCCCCGGGACCTGCGAATGTTACCTTATCTGGAGAAGGGGATTTTGCGGACATATTCAAGTTCAGGATCTTGAGGTAGAGGAATTACCCTGGGTTATATGGTCAGGCCCTAATTGTAAACTAAATGTAGTTATAAATGGCCTTGTGAGATGGAAGTAGAGGAAAATTAGATGACAGAAGAGAAGGCAGCAATGTGACACCCGAAGCAAGATGCTGGCTTTGAGGATGGAGGAAGAGGCCAAAAAATGTTACCCTGCAGCTCTGGAGGATGGAAAAGGCAAGGAAATCGTTCCTTTCCTGGGGCCTCTGGAGGGAGTGCAGCCCAGTAAAACTGGCCTCCAGCACCCTAGGAAATAAATGGGTACTATTTTAAGACACCAAGTGTGTGGTGGTTTGTTACAGGAGCAATGGGCAACAAATACAGCCACCAACTGAACAGTCACTCATAGTGACCCCTGCAGCTTAGTGAAGAAGGGAACGGAACATTCTAGAGCCGAACTTCCCCACAGAAAGAACCCAGGGTGAAGTGGACACATTCCCAGGAGATGAACTGTAGTGACAAGGCGTCTCACGGAGGAAGATCTGCTTCAGCAGCATGATGCGGGCAGGCTGAGGCACCAGCAAGGACCACAGGAAGTGTGCTTCTTCTTGAGACTTCTGTGGTGCTCTGAGGGGTCTTGGTTTCCTATTTAGAAACGAGCCCATCCTCTCACTTGTCAGATGCTGTGTAGGGCAGAACCATGACCTCCCTCTGGTTCAATATTGGTGAGAGGACAAGATTAGGCCCAGAATCTGAGTCTCCCTCCCGCCCCAGAGTGGGTCCTCTTTGCATGCCTCCCTACCTCTCAGCAATTCTGAACAGTAGGGAGAGCTCAGCTCCATGGAAGTAGGCTCTTGGGAAGGCTGCAGGAGGCCTGGACAGCCTCATGAAGAAATGCTTTATCCAGGAGCTACAGATGACAGCATGAAATCCTCCAAATGGGGCAATGTGGGACTTCATCTCTTGCATAATATGGGACTTTGTTTTTCTCTTTCTCCTCTTTTCATACCACTTCCCTTTTTCTATCCTCACACCACACAACTGGTATCTGCTTACTTGACTTTCCAGCTGAGGTTGCTCTAGGTTTCTGGGCAGGGCCAGAGCCAGAGTAAAGGAGACAGAACAGGCAAAGGCAAAGGGGCTGGGTTCATGGAGTGACTTCTAGATCCCAGGGTTTTCCTGTTCTTATGCAGTGCCTGCCTCCCCCACTTCACTCTCCAGATGAGAAGGAATCTCTTTCCTCACGTACAAGTTCATGCAGACTTTCTGTCCTTCTCCACCTACCACCTCAACCTAGAACCTTCCCTAACACTCCCATTGATGTTGAAATTTCCTCCTAGGAGCCCAGCAGTTGAGCAAGTAGAGTGCAGGATCAAGCAAGCAAATTGAGCTGAAGGTGATGAAAAAACCCATAGCTCTTCCTGGTGGCTGAGGCTGCGACCACATCTCAGTCTTCAGCTCCTGTCCACAAGCTCCCCTCACAGACCCAAACATTTGTCTCCACCAGTCCTCCCTTCTAAACTCCTCTTCTCTTGAGCCCCCACTGACTCTACCAGACAGGAAATGGAAAAAGCAGATACCAGCTGTGGTGGCATGAGAATTGAGAGAAAAATTGTGATCAGATTTTTTAAAATTTCATATTAATATGAGGGTACAATTAGGTTACAATGTTTACATTTGTCAGGTTAAGTCCCTGTTGTAGTTGTGTACCGCACCCAGGAAGTGTGCCATATACCCTTACATTATGCCCATTGTGTGGGAACATACCCCCTCCCTCCTTTCCTCTCCCCCCTATCTCTTCCATCTTCTCCCCAGCTTGAATTGAATTGAATTTTTCTCTTGTGTGGCCATGTATTATTTCATCCACTGGCTTCATATTAGTATTGAGTAAGTTTTGGATACTTGTTTTTCCATTCTTGTGATACTTTACTAAGGAGAATCTGTTTCAACTCCTACCAGGATATTACAAAAGATATGAAGTCACCATCTTTTTAATGACTGAATAGTATTCCATTGTATGCATATACCACAATTTGTTAATCCATTCCTGGGTTGATGGGCATTTAAGTTGTTTCCACATCTTGGAGATCAAAAATTGAGCTGTGATAAACAATCTAGTGCAAATGTCCTTATAATAAGATGATTTTTTTTTCTTCTGGGTAGATGCCTAGTAGAGGGATTGCAGGGTCAAATGGAAGGTCTATTTTGAGTTCTTTGAAGGTTTGCCATACTTCTTTCCAAAGAGGCTGTATTATTTTGCAGTCCCACCAACAGTGTAAAAGTGGTCCCCTCTCTCCACAACCATGCCAGCATCTGCAGCTTTGGGACTTTGTGATGTGGACTATTCTCACTGGGGTTAGGTGATATCTCAGGATGATTGTGATTTGCATTTCTCTGATGATTAGGGGTGATGGACATTTTTTCATATGTTTGTTAGCTATTCATATGTCTTCTTCAGAGAAGGTCCTCTTCATGTCTCTTGCTCAGTGAAAGATGAAAGTCTTTGCTCTTTTTGTTGTTGTTGTTGTCAATTAACTTGAGTTCTCTGTAGATTTAGTGATCAACCCTTTGTCAGATTCATAACAAGCAAATATCTTTTCCCATTCTGAAGGTTGTCTATTTACTTTTTTTTTTTTTTGAGACACAGTCTCACTGTTTCACCCTTGGTAGAGTAGTGTGGGGTCATAGTTCACAGCAACCTCAAAATCTTGATCTCAAGGGATCCTCTTGCCTGAGCCTCCCAAGTAGCTGGGACTATAGGGACCCACCACAACACCAGGATATTTTTAGTGACAGAGTCTCACTCTTACTCGAACTCCTGAGCTCAGGCAATCTACTCGCCTCTGCCTCCCAGACTACTAGAATTACAGGTGTGAGCCACTGCACCCAGCCCTATTTGCTTGAATTGTTGTGTCCTTAGCTTTGCAGAAGCTTTTCAGCTTAATTAAGTCCCATTTGTTTATTTTTGTTGTTGTTGCAATTGTCAATGAGGTCTTTCTTCTTCATAAAAGCTTTCCCCAGGTCAACATTATTAAGAGTTTTCCTCACACTTTCTTCTAGGATTTTTATAATTTCTTTCTTTCTTTTTTTTTTTAATTAAATGTTAGCTATGTAGCCCATATCACAAAATCCCAAAACCAGAGATGCTGGTGTGGATGTGGAGAAAAGGGATTTTTATAATTTCATGTCTTATATTTAAACCTTTTATCCATCCTGAGTCAATTTTTGTAAGTGGTGAAAGGTATGGGTCCAAAGGTATGGGTTCAGTTTTTACATGTCGTTATCCAGTTCTCCCAGCACCATGTATTGAATCCCTATTAAATAAATGGGCCTCCATTTGGATGCCCTTAATATCGTTCTCTTGCCTGATTGCATTGGCTAGAAC